CCCCCCCCCTGTGGGTCAGCAGCACCTGACCCAAAAAAGGTTGTTTTCCCCAGCATAAATACATTCATAATGAAAAAACATTGGATACTAACATGCTCTTTAGTCTATCAGGAGAAAGGTGTCTTGAGACAAGAGCACAAGAACCAGTGTCTCAAATATGAAACCAGACACATTCAAATTGGAAGTTAAATACAAATTTTTAACATTGGGGCACACTATCAAGAGAAATGGTGGATTCGCCATCTCTTGATGTCTTCAAGACAGGATGCTTTTCTGGATGATCTATATTGGTCAAGTGCAAGTTATTGGGTTCAACATTGGGGTAATTTGGTGTTATTTTGTGTCTTGTGTAATCCAGAAAACCAGGCTAGGTGATTTAATGATCCTTTTTGTCTGAAATGCTATGAATTTATGAATCACTTGGGTATAAGTATCTGTCTGCATGGATCCAGTTGTAGGATTGAGACTCAAATAAGGAAATGTCTGTCTTACTTCAAAAGCAGTGTATACATTGCTCACTGTTTAGTAGTAGATTGTCCTGATAAGATCTCATTAGAGGTTATTTTAAATAACGATGGTAACTGGCTGAGAAGTTCTGTTGCTTATTAGTAAATTTGTTCATTAAGTCTCTTTATTAATTAAAGCAATGAATGTAAATAATGAAGTAATGTTTTATTTCTTTTTTAGGTTATAATCTATGGAGATTTGCCAAAAAATAAAGAGAATGTAGTATGTTTATCAAATCATCAGAGTACAGGTTTGTATCTCATTTGCACATTTTTTTCTTTGTTTTTCTACCTTGCAGCAAGAAATCTTAAAGCTATTGGGCATATTTTGTAAAGAGACATATTTCAGATTTGCCTCAGTAGACTAGGTATAGATAAGTAAATATATTTTAGCTAAATCTTTCTAGTATTTATTTAATCTGTATTTTTAAGAACAACCTTGGCAACAAATTACCTGGAAAATTCTCTGAGAAGTAAAGTAGACAATAGTTAGAGATCCCAGAATTTAATGCTGCTTTTCTTATACATTCATTGATTCTCATTAAGGTAATAGGAGGTATTTTTAAGAGAAAATTGTAAACTGATCTTGAAAATGAGCCTTATAGCCACTTGTTTCTTTAAAGGAGGGTATCACAAACAGTTAACACCGATTATGGTTTTGTATGGAAGTTTCACATCAGAACCTATGTTTTACATTTCTCTGAGTATTTCTGGACCTGAACCTGCAAAGTGTCTTTTCACATGATTCTGCTCAGCTCTGAGCACAGTTAATGAGAGTTGAGGGCACTTGGCACCTTGCAAGGTTCAGCCCTATCTGAATTACCACAAAATGTAAGTCATAACATTTAAATTCTAAAATCAAGATTCTTTCTCATCCCCTCCTTTTAGGGTGCAACTAAATTCAGCAGAAAAATAATTTTCCCCCCTCAAGCATCCTTCAGGATCAGCCCCTGAGTATTTTAATTTTCTTTGACTTCAGTGAAGGCACTTAGCTTCTTGGAGGAATAAGCCTTTTAGTCCAATCTCCTATACTTTATAAGATAACTTGGTCCAGCTCTGTTCATCCAAGTTCCTTATGTCTGGATGGATAGATAGATACCACCTGTAACTCAAGGATCAAGATTCTGTCACCTCCCTCCTAAACATTTGATTGGGTTTGTGCACCTTATCAAACAAGGGTTGTCTGAGTGAGAAATCCCACTGAAAACTACAGCTAAGAATTGATACCTAGAAATTTATAGGCTTTAGCGCCCATTTGTTTTAGTGGATTTTTTGGTTTAGGTGTAGAGTAGACTGATATCTGAAGATGTTGGTATTTGATTTATGTTGTGCTGCTTGTTACAGGAGAGAGCTGATAGTATTGTATTTTGGTTTTGTACTGTTAAAGAACTGGCTGTGTCAGTGGTGCTGGAACAATTTCTCTAGTGAGGATGCTGAGAGCCATTGAAGCAAACTATAAACCTTGTATATAATGGCAGCTGCTTCAAGTCAGTGGGTGCCGCAGCATCCCCAGCAATCCTAGTTCCAGCCCTTATGGACTACGTGCTCAGAGTTTCTGTATGAGAGATTTTTTTATTTTAAATTGAATGAAAAGACATGTATTTATGAAATTGTCCATATTATAGAGTCTGGGTAATGATCAACAATAATGATTCCATACCTAACCTGTTGATCGTGGTCAACTCAGCAAGAATCTCCTCCATCATTTAAATTCTATAGCACCTGCTAAATACCCACAAGAAGGCAAAAGCCTGGGAGAAAATAGTCTAGCACTGTACCTTGAAGATCAGTTGAATCTAGTTTTGGCAACCTAGTGAGGGCAGAAATCCCAAAACAAAGGTCCCTCCACAGGAATGATGTCATTGTGGTTTGATTGATTTGACAAAATCTGTTCTTTGTTTAGATAAGTGTTTTGCACTATTCATCATTGGGTTTTGTGGCTGATCTAAAGAGCATCATTGAAGGACTCCATAGGAGAAATCCATGGTGTCCTTGGAGGTAGGGATCATAAAAAAGAAAAAGGCAAGGAAATGAGGGAAAAGCTCAAGCTTAAGTAGGGACATTCATGGTAGGAGACCTTCCAGGCTTGGAGGAAAGGAAAAGTATATTTATCATACATGGTACAGAAAACTAGTAACTTAAAACAAAATGTCCTAATAAATGATCTGCGCCTGATGGCTCTTTGTGCTAGCAAATTGGTCATAATTAAATGCCACAAATTGGGCTTGCAGTTGATCAATGAAACTTGTAAACAGGCAAGGTATCTTTAAAATAAGATTTCTTTGTATTGCCATTGAAAAAGATATGTTATCTTGAGTGTTTGCTACATGCTTTTTTATTCTATTGAGATTTCTGGTATGAGTATCAGAAACATAATTACTGTTTCAGAAGCACTTTAGTGCTATCCCTGGTACAAAATATATTTTGTTTTCTCTGGGATATTTGAAGCGCAGCTTGACTAAAAAGTATTTGTTCTTTGTCTTTGCAGTTGACTGGATTGTTGCAGACATGTTGGCAATCAGACAGAATGCTCTTGGGCATATCCGATATGTTTTGAAAGATGGGTTAAAATGGCTTCCCTTGTACGGGTGGTATTTTTCTCAGGTAACTCCCATTTGTTTGTTTTTTTCCTACTGTTTGCACATGTAGTGTAAAATTTTTTATATTTTTACTGTGTATTTCTAATACTTATTATTCAAACGGAATAATAATTACTCTGTTTTTTTGGCATGCCTTTTATTTAAACAAGAAAATTGCTTGGTGTCATTCAGAAGGGTGTGAATTTGAACATTTATATAACATTGATTTAAAAGACAGCAGTTTATTAGAGGATGGAGTCTATTTTAACTAATATTTATTTAATCTTTCTAACGAATAAAATATTGTGCTTTAGAGTATTATCAGAATTAAAATCATGGAACAGAATTTAGAGGTGGTGTGTAACATGGGTTCCTTTATATTTTTTTCTCACTTTCAGACATTTACATATGTATACATGACAATATGTAAGAGACTGATTCATCTTTCCTTCTATAAATTGGGGGGCAATTTCTTTGAAGACAGTGGAATACCACTCATGTAAAATCAGTAAGAGAAGCAATGGGAGGATAATCTCTCAATTCTGTTGTCAAGGGAGGTTGAGGTTTGCCTTCATATTATTACCACTATAGAATGGTCAGGCTCGCCTTAAACTGCAGGTGTCATGAGAGCTCTGTATAGATCTCATGACACCAATAATGGACTAGTACTTCTGCACAATTATCGAGGTTAATCTGTCCCTCATGACAGCATGGCTCCCTTAGTACAGTAGAACCTCAGAGTTACAAACCTCTTCAGATTGAAGGTTGTTTGTAATTTTGAAACATTCATAACTCTGAACAAACCTTATGATTGTTTTTTCATAAGTTTACTACTGAACATTCAGGTTCTCTATTGCATCCACTATCACTAAGTGTCCAAAGTTATTTTTGTAATTTTCCAAAATCTTGCTATGGCTCTCTGAAATATCCTGTGTTCAACTTCCTGACTATTTATACAGACTGTTAAGACTGTTTCTCTGAAAAGTGGTGTGAATACAGGTTACACTTTTATACACATCATAGTTATTAACTTTAGTTTTGTGTGTCCTATAACTCTTGTCACATTATTAAAGATATTAAATAGAAATGGATATACTAACTGTTTACAGACTTCGATGTTGTGTGGGATACAGTAGGACTGTAGTGCAAGCTAATAGGCATTTTATTGTCTTTATCATACCAAACACTGCAAAAACATAAAACACTTCCTACTTTTCCTGTTGACGCTCCGTCAGTGATGTCACTCACACTCCACTAAAACTTTCCAGTGATATGTACTTACGGAATACTCATGGAATTTATATTCACTACATCAAGTAAACATCCTGTTTGGAATATACACCATTTTTTGGATACCGAGTTTTGCAGAATTCAGGCGCTAAGGAAACATATTTGTAAACATAGTTAATTGTTCAGCTAGAAACAGGTTTTAAAGTACAAAGGGGGGAAAATTGAAATACAGACAGCATACTTACAGACGTCCAGAAATCTATTTTGAGACATACAGATATATTTTGATATTACTCAAAAGCAGAAAAAGTAGAAATTCAGTACGAATTAGGGAACTGGATCTGTAGAAGACTGTAGGATGTAAGTGACTAGTCAAGAAGTCAACTACTCACATTTCCCTTCCCCCGCCTTCGGTTACTTCTGTATCAGGCAGCAGGGGGGGGAGGGAGCAAGAGCCGCCTCCTATCAGAGGTGGGCGGGCCTCGGTTTGTGGCCAGTAGGGGTAGGTGCCAGCATAGGCACAAGCTGGGAATGAGCAAGTTGGACTTAATCCCAGCTCACGCTGGTCCAGGACCGCTGTGATTCCGTGTTTTGAATGTAGTAAGAGCCACCCAGCTATTACTACATTTAAACTGCAGAGCTGCCCAAGGGGTAGGTCCTGGACCTGGCGCAAGCCGAGACTGAGCTGGGCTTGCTCAGTCACGACTTGCTCCGGGTCTAGGACCTACTCTCGCTGAGGCTCTGTAGTTTAAATGTAGTAGGAGCCAGGCTACAGGCAATAAAGAAAAATTAACAGATGCCCATAACCTGTCTGTGACTTTTACTGAAAAAAAATCCGTGATACAATTTTAGCCTTAAGAAGTGGATTTTAGCGATTCTCCACGGAAGATATTCAATACAATTTAAACAAAGTCCTTCCAATCATACTTCCCTTACCTCTAACTAGTACCAGTTGAGATCAGAGTTTCTAGTTCTCCTCCAAATGGCTCAAGAGGGTTTCATAGGGGAATTAAAAGTAATGAGGTTTTATGTTTAAAAAAAAAATACCATTCTGATTCACACACACTAAAGGGTGGGAGCCTTTGCCTTACACTAAACCTCAAGAAACTCAATACTTTCATCAAGACATCTTGTTTCTTTATGCCACCCTATCCTCTATCATATCATCCTTTGAAAGATTGGCTTGCAACTCCTGATTTAAGAGAGAAGCATTTACAGATTTCCTCCTGTTTTAATTGAAAATACTTTTGTTTCATAGTGGGAGAGGACTACTTGCTGTACAGGATGCTTCTGTTTGGACTTTGTGCTGCCTCCGAGTATTCAGCAGTGGCATTTCACCAAAAAAGAGAGGGAATGCTCCTATACCCTTATTTGGAGGATTAGCTAAGAAAAGTATCATTAAAGGAACATCTTTGTATCTCTGCACATGTACTCTCTTCAGAAGTATGATTTTGTGATTAGTCAGAAGTGATTTCTTAGGGTTTAATCAGTCAACAAATCTTATCTCCTGTAGACTCTAAGATAAGCAGAGTGCTTTTTCCTCGAGAGATTTGTGAATGTAAAATTAGCAGTAGAAACTCAGCACTCTCAAAGGGTAATGTAGTATCTCAAGTTGATGGGACTCTTAGCTTCTATAATATATGCAGGTCTCAAAATAAAACTTTACAACACTGGCTCTTAGCCATCTACAAAGTACATACAGATGAATCAAAAGCTTTCCATTCCAAAGAAAGTGCTCCTATCTCTGATAGCAGGCTCAACCTTGTAGTGTCCTCAAAGGACACTGTTCAGTCATCTTACATCAATAATGGATGCTCAGTATGCATCCAAGATAGAATGGTATGCTCACTCCTGAAGGTTCACAGTCCAGAAACATTGGAATCTCCTCAAAGACAATGTTACATTAAACTTCTAGAGCTCAGAGCATTTTGTTAGAATGTTTTAAAATGCCTAACTTTGTGTCCAGCATTACATTTTAAAATAAAGGCTCACAGTCATAGAATACTAGAACTGGAAAGAATCTCGAGATGTTATCAAGTCCAGTCTCCTGCTCTTACGGCAGGACCAAGCACCATCTAGATCAGGTTAGATAAACATCTATCAGGGATGCTCTTAAATATCTTCAGTGATGGAGATTCCACAACCTCTCTAGGCAATGTAGGCAGAGGATGATGATGATCCTATCTCATGATCTCAATCTAATGTATACCAGAGCACCTCTTCCAGCTCAAAATAGCTGACCTATCATTCTCTTCAATTTAAGGTTATTTTTGTTAGCCTTATATGCCTCCCATTCTCTCATTGATAAATTGGTGTTTGCTCATGTCACAACATATTACCATCATATTGAAAATCCAGCATCAGCTTGGGACCTAAATTTAGTTTTCATATAGTTAAGGAAATATCTATTTGAGACTATAACAGAATGTTCTTTCCTTATGTATTTAAATCTGTCAAAGATTTTTACTGAAAAAAAATGAATGTAGTCTAATATAGTATTTAGAAAAAAACAGTAATTGTGCAGCAAAGATATAAAAGTGATTTGGAAAGATAACTGATTTTAATTTTGAACATACAAAAAGATTATTATTTATAACAATTAAAAAATTTTAAGTAGCAAATTTTATTTATCTCCTCATATCTTTTTTTCTTACGTTTCTCTCTTTTCAAATCTAACAGTGCACATTCAGTTGTTTTAAAATTTTAATAGTAATCTATGAGGAACAAATTATACAACTAGTGTTTTGCAGGGAATAGTTTAGTTTTTCATAAGGCTTCCCAGGAGAATGTTGTTATTGTGAAGCATTTGCCACCTTCTCAAACAAGTACAGGTTGAATTTCTCTAGTCCAGTCCAGGATCTGACTATTGCCAAACCTGAGAATTTGCTTGATCACAGAAGGTCAATATTGTCTAGCAGCATTACCAACACTTCCACTACTTTCTCAGCTCTTAGAAGCTATTTGGAGTAAATTAGAGCTAAATAACACAGAACACGGAGAGCCAAGACTGATGTGTGTAAATAAACCTTACAGGCCTGCAGGAAGTTTGGCCACACTCATTAAAAGTGGACATCCAGATGTTGCTGGACCAGAGAGTGCTAGACTAGGAAGGTTTAACCTATTGTTATTTTAATTTGAGTATCATCGTATCTAACTTTTTCTTTGCAGTTATCAGACTTTTTTTTTTATTTATGAAAGAGTATTATAGTATGACGTGATCTGTGTTGCTTGTTTACTACTTACATGTATTTACAATACAATACCCGTTAAGTATGTGTTCAGTATTTGTCTTGTATTACTATTTGCATTAAGATACCCAGATTTGAAATTCTAACATGCAAATACTTGAGCAGTAGAATTCACTCATGTGAGGAGTCCTACTATTTGCATGAATAAAGATACTTCCGTGTCTGTATTTGTAGAATTAGATCCTTTTGTGTCATTTCCAGTGTTATCTTTTGGTTCAGTGACATTATTAAACAAGACAAGTCAGGTGCTTTCTAATTCATCATGTGGACATTGTAATCTGCATGTATAACAATTCCCCTTCTATGTAAATTTGTTGAAGAGTATATATTGCTTGTGAAAATGTAAAATAGTGTGTCTTTCATTATGAAAAATAATGTTCTCTACTATGCAGGTTGCTATCTTAATAGATGCTTCTAATGACCTGTGATAATATCTAAAAATATTTGTATCCAAATGCTGACATTTGTTCTTTCATCAAATGTAATATGTGGTAAATACTAAATACTTTTAATTTTTAATTTTTTATATGCTAGCATGGAGGAATCTATGTAAAACGAAGTGCCAAATTTAATGAAGAAGAAATGAGAAACAAGCTGCAGGCCCAGGTGAAAACTGAGACTCCAGTAAGATTCATCTTTTTCTCTTTAATTATTATTTTTAAATAATTGATCTTTGTAACTAGAAATTACTGCATCAGAGGAATTATAATTAACTTCTAATTTTCAGACATTATGACAAACGATCATGTTCATGTTGTCTTTTATGTATTTAGAATGCTTATTTTTGATAGTTAAATCTTCTAATTAGTCACTGAAAAGCTTTGACCAATCAAATTAAAGTCTATATTATGTAGGAAAAAATCTTTTCCAATAAACCTTAGAGCTACCATTACAGCAGCTGTATTTCTTTCCTGAAACAGCCAATTTCACTGTTCCCTATATTTTAAAACAACATTTTGTCTGCTGTAGTAATGCCTGTCATACTGGTTTTTTTTAATTGTATATCAAATTAGTTTGGTCTTTTGAAAATCAAGAAACATTCTTACAAAATATTTATTAATCAGCTAGCAGGATGATTAGTCATTTTTAAAGTAAGTGACATTTTAAAACTAAATAACTTTGCTACAGAGAAAAATCTCTTGACAGTTTTCTATTTGAAGAACAACTGTTGCTGCCAAGTGACTTTTCTCATGACTCCCTCTATGGTCTGTGTTTCAGTGGTTGGAATCCCCTTACTTTCATTTGCATTAGCTACTGTGCATTAGTATATTGTGTTTTTCCTCTTTGTTGGCTTAGTGCATTATAACCTACTTGGTAACACTTCAGATATGTCAGTTGATCAGCTATGCTTTACATTATATGAAAAAGGAATCTGACAAAAAGCAGAAACATGGACAAATTGCTAATGTTGTGTACAAAAGACTAGCACAAGCATGTAGGGACAAAATAAACAAGGTTAAGGCACAAAATAGGTTAGACTAGGAAGGGACATAAAAAGCAGTAAGAAGTGGTCCTGTAGGTACAGTTTCAGCAGCGGCTGACTTGGGGAAGTCTGGGGCAGAGCAGCTAGGGTGCTGCCAGGTTGGTCCCCTAGCACCGAGGGGCGCATTCCCCCCACTCCCCTTATAGCCTCCCCCTTCCTATAATCTGGCATATTTGATAATCCAGCTCCCCCTGGGTCCTAAAGGTGCCGGATTATCGGAAGTTTACTGTACTACTCAGTATTTTTATTAATGACTTGGATACTGGAATAGAGACTGTGCACATAAAATGTGCAAATAACTCCAAACTTGGAGGTCAAGGTTACAATTCAAATTACAGTAAAACTCTGATGGTCTGGCATCTGATGGTCCGGCACTCCTGATGGTCCGGCACCATCAGGAACCCGAAAGTGCTCCGGGCAGCCGACCATTGGAGCTGCTCTGCCCCCAGCTTCCCCGATTCAGCCGCTGCTAAAACTGACCAGCAGCTGAATGAGGAAGCCGGGGGCAGAGCAGCTAGAGTGCCGCCGGGTAGGTCCCGTAGCGCTGCTCCTTGGGGCTGCGGGACCAACCTGGCAGCACCCCAGCTGTCCCCAATTCAGCCGCTGCTGATACTGATCAGCGGCTGACTCTAGGAAGCCCAAGGCAGAGCTGCTCTGCCCCAGCTTCCTGGGATCAGCTCATGATCAGTTTCATCAGCAGCTGACTTGGGTACACGTGGGACAGAGCAGCTAGGGTGCTGCCGGGTTGGTCCCCGTAGCGCCGAGGTGCGGTGCTGCGGGGACCAACCTGGCAGCGCCCCAGATGCTCTCTCCCAGGCATCCCGATTCAGCTGCTCTGCCTCGGGCTTCCTGGAGTCAATCGCTGATCAGTATCAGCAGTGGCTGACTTGGGGACACCTGGGGTAGAGCAGCTGGGGTGCTGCCGGGTTGGTCTCGCAGCGCCAAGGGTCGGCGCTACCGGACCAACCCAGCAGCACTCCAGCTGCTTTGCTGCAGGCGTCCCCGATTCAGTGCTGCTGGTCAGTTTCAGCAGCGGCTGAATCAGGGACACCTGGGGCAGAGCCGGACTATCAGAAGGGGGGGGCTATGAGGGGGTTGGGGGGGCATCCCCCCCAGCCCAGACCCCTCATAGCCCCCCCTTCCGATAGTCCGGCATATTTGATAATCCGGCACCCCCTGGGTCCTAAAGGTGCCAGATTATCGGAAGTTTACTGTACCTTGATAAATCGGAGAATTGATCTGAAATTAATAAGATGAATTTTAATATAGAAAATTGCAAAATACTGTACTTAGGAAGGAAAACTCATGCACAACTACAAAATGAAGAATAAACGAAAGGATATGTAGATTATAGTGCTCCATACTTTGGGTATGCATCAAGAAAGTAATACATTTTGAAAAGGGATGATGATCAATTGTTCTGTGTCCGCTGAAGGCAGGAAACAAAATAATCAGCTTAATATGCAGCAAGGAAGATTTAGGTTAGATATTAGCTAAACCTTTCTAACTTGTGGATAAGGGAGAAGCGGTGGATGTCATATACCTAGACTTTAGTAAGCCCCTGTGAGAACTTTTTATTAAGGCTTGGTAGAAGGTGAATGAGTAGATTGGTGAATGAGTAGAAGGTGAATGAGTGTCTTGACTATTACATTTTCATCACTTTTCTGTAATGCTGGCTTAGTTCCATTTTAGTAGCCATATATTATTATGCCTGTGTTTGTGTATTTTTTGTTGTTTAAAGGGCCTGATTTTCCCATCTCTTATATGGTTTTAATTTGTTTTGAATTCAGTTGTATCTCATAGCAATTTCATGTTATAATTACCAACAAATGCTCTCAAAATTGTTGGCTGCTTAAAAATATTTCTTCTAATGAAAGTGATCATTCTGGGCAAAATGCAAATTTACCTTCAAATGTTTGTGGTGTATCTAACCACTTCAAGTATTAATATTACATTCAAGTAATATTCATGTTGTTGCATTTGTGTTTGAAATTTCATCGCATTAATATATTAAATATTTGTGCTTCTTCTCAATCTGCATAGGAATCCTTCCATTTTCTTTCAAGTCCATTGTGCTATAAAATACATACTACAAAACTACATACATACTACATACATACTACAAAACATACATACTACAAAACTACACTCATACTAACCAATGGCAAGTACCCAAATTGCAAAATAGTCTACAGAAGAAAATGCTCACATTCAATAGTTAAACTTTGTCCTCTCATAACAAATTAGAGCCATTTTATTATCTCTGTAAATAGACTGAATATTATTAATAGCTGTAAGTTTGCCAAAAGAATCTATCTTTGCCTTTCTCACGTGCAAAAAAGTCTCAACATAACTTAAAGACCCAGCTTGAAATAACCACGAAAAATAGAGCTGCCGATTAATTGCGTTTAACTCACACAATTAACTCAAAATTCATCACAATTTAAAAAATCATGATTAATCAAAGTTTTAATCATACTGCTTTAAAAAAATAAAATATGAATTGAAATGTATTAAATATTTTTGGATTTTTTCTACATTTTAAAATACATTGAGTTCAATTATAAAATGGATAGTTCTCACTCTATATTATTTTTATTGCAAATATTTGCACTGTAGAACTGATAAACAGAGGAAATAGTATTTTTTGCTCATGCAAGTTTACCTCATGCAAGTACAGGTTGATCCTCTCTTAACCAGGATTCTTTGGTCCAGCCATATCCCTGATTGGGAAGGAAAGCCCATGGATATTTCAGGACCAGAGAGTCCCGTGGAGGGCTGGTGGCTTGGAGCCCGGTAGCAGGGCTGGTGCCCAGTAGCGACACTACAGAGGAAAGGGGAGACGGGAGGCAGTGGGATTCCTGGCCCTACCATCAGGCAATAAGAACATAAAAATGGCCACACTGGGTCAGACCAAAGGTCCATCCAGCCCAGTACTCTGTCTGCTGACAGTGGCCAATGCCAGGTGTCCAGAGGGAGTGAATCGAACAGGTAATGATGAAGCGATCTCTCTCCTGCCATCCATCTCCACCCTCTGATAAACAGAGGCTAGGGACACCATTCCTTACCCATACTGGCTAATAGCCGTTAATAGACTTAACCTCCATGAATTTATCGAGTTCTCTTTTAAACCCTGTTATAGTCCTAGCCTTCCCAACCTCCTCAGGCAAGTAGTTCCACAGATTGACTATGCTCTGTATGAAGAAGAACTTCCTTTTATTTGTGTTAAACCTGCTGCCCATTAGTTTCATTTGGTGGCCCCTAGTTCTTATATTATGGGAACAAGTAAATAACTTTTCATTACTCGCTTTCTCCACATCACTCATGATTTTATATACCTCTATCATATCCCCCCTTAGTCTCTAGTTTTCCAAGCTGAAAAGTCCCAGTCTCTTTAATCTCTCCTCATATGGGACACATTCCAAACCCCTAATCATTTTAGCTGCCCTTCTATGAACCTTTTCTAATGCCAGTATATCTTTTTTGAGATGAGGAGACCATATCTGTACGCAGTATTCAAGATGTGGGCGTATCATGGATTTATAGAAGGGCAATAAGATATTCTCTGTCTTATTCTCTCTTTTTAAATGATTCCTAACATCCTGTTTGCTTTTTTGACTGCTGCTGAGCACTGCGTGGACGTCTTCAGAGAACTATCCACGATGACTCCAAGATCTTTCCTGATTAGTTGTAGCTAAATTAGTCTCCATCATATTGTATGTATAGTTGGGATTATTTTTTCTAATGTGCATTACTTTAAATTTATCCACATTAAATTTCATTTGCCATTTTCTTGCCCAATCACTTAGTTTTGTGAGATCTTTTTGAAGTTCTTCAAAGTCTGCTTTGGTCTTAACTACTTTGAGCAGTTTAGTATCATCTGTGAACTTTGCCAACATACTGTTTACCCCTTTCTCCAGATCATTTATGAATAAGTTGAATAGGATTGGTCCTAGGACTAACACCACTAGTTATCCCTCTCCATTCTGAAAATTTACCATTTATTCCTACCCTTTGTTTCCTGTCTTTTAACCAGTTCTTAGTCCATGAAAGGTTAAACTCCTCTCCGTGATGGTGTAATACTTAGTCCTGCCTCAGTGCATGGTACTGAACTAGTTGATTTATTAAGGGGCATAATCTTATGATTCTATGACCATTATGCTCCCCTGTCATTCCAGCTGATGTCATCTTTGACTCCTCCATCTCTTTTCTTCTATACATACATGCTGCATCCAAGTCCTGTCCGTTTTTCACCTGCAATCTTTCAATTCTGTTCTGTTTTTTTTCCTCCATCCACACAGCTGAAGCTTTCTTGTTCAAGTCTTTCTCACAGCAATCAAGATGTTGCCTCTTTATCTACAGCTTTGCAAACCACCCATGTTGCTCCCTCCAGTTACTTTAAAATTTAGCTGCTATGATTATTACATATTGCTCTGACCATGTCACCTCCATTTGCTTACTAAGGGCATGTCTACACTGCAGGGCAAAAGTTGAATGAAGATATGTAACTTCAGCTACATCAATTGCGTAGCTGAAGTCAAAATAGCTTAATTCAGCTTTTGGCTCTGTCTACACAGAAGGGAGTCAAGGGAAGAACACTCTTCCTTAGACTTCCCTTGCTCTTCATAAAATGAGGATTACAGGAGTCAATGTAAGAAGTCTTCCATCTCAAAATTATTTAGAAATAACAGCTTGCTATGTAGATGCGCATTTTGCTATTTTGAAATGACACTGCTGTGTAGACGTACCCCAAGTTCCACTGCGTAAATCTTAAGCTGCAGCTGCCTTTCCTATCTTTTAGGGCCCTTCATAACTTTGACCTTTGACAATGGTACATTCCTATCTCTTATCACATTCCTTTTCCCTCCAAAGATTTCATACCATACATAACAATCTTGTCCTCTCAGGTGTCAGCTTTTTAGTCAAACCTCTCCGTAACTTCTTCTCCACTGCCCTTATTCATGGAACACCTTCCTTTTACTATCTATGAAGCCACCAGCTTTTCTTCCTTTCAAAGTCTTTTTTTCCACAAGACCCGCCTCTGTTATGAAATCGGAGAAATCAGCTATTAGGGTTAACAAAAACTGGCTGACATGTTTTTACACTGAGTACTAAATCATGTTTAATAGTTAATTGTCATTGAATTTTGACTTGAATAGTGTCTATATTACTAAAGGTTGTTACATAGGAACAAGAATTTTGTTCGTATCTTAGCTGTTCTTGCTATTTATTTCCTCAACTCACTTCCTAATCTTCCTTTTGATATGTGGGTTTTTTATCTTTCCTCTTAAAATTTGTTAATTCACCTAGTGGAATTTTATTCCAAGCTTATAAAACCTTGAAAATTGGCTTAATGGTGGAAAACAGTTTTAAACCCTAAATTTTAACATTGCAAATGCAACATTGTTTAAGTAAGCCTCCTATAGCTTTATAAAGAGCATTTATTTTTGTCCAGTACTTATAGCTGTATCTGGCATTTGTTTTTAATCTTGTGTATGAGACTAAAATTGTATGATTATTTTCAGAAATTATCTTCTAGGTCTGATTTTTTTAAAGTATATGCATATGTATTTTTAAATCCCACAGGTGTATCTTGTGATATTTCCAGAGGGAACTCGTTACGATCCAGAAATGCGAAAAGTCATTGCAGATAGTCAGTTATTTGCTGAAAAAGAAGGTAAGCAAAAATTTCAAAGAACTTTGTTGAATGAAGAGGGAGGGAACATTATTCTATTTTAATATCATATTTATGTGTTTGTGTGCAAGTGAGCTAGAGCAATGTTTCTCAACCTTTTTTTATAAAGTACACCTTTTTTAAAAAAAATATTAGTACCCTCAGACGCACACAATTTTTTCTACCATTGCAACACATTTGTTTAAACAATTTAATCGTAGCTGAGCGGACAATGAAATTTTGGGGTGTAAAAAGTACAAAAATAATAAAGCGATGTAAAACTTAACTGAAATTTGAAAAACTGAATTTTTGTTTTGTGTTGATGTACCCCTCCAGACTTCTCTCGAGTACCCACAAGGGTACTCGTACCACTGGTTGAGAAACACTGAGCAAGAAAATGAGAGACTTTTTATGTAATTTATAGTATAAAATATTACTTCATGGCCACCCCATAAATAACTCTTTAACAAAAGCAACTAACAATCTTATTGATTTAGAGATGTTTTTAATAAATAAGTAATTAACTGAGGATTTAATGTATGTTTTCACATTGTACAAACTTGTGGCCATTTTCAAAAACAAGGTTGCCTCTTTGATTCAGGGGAATTACTTCACCAGAGCTTTTAGAAACATGGATCAAACCACTAGTCCATCAACATCCTGCTTCCGATAGTTAGTATGCTATCAACATCCTACTTCAATATCCTGCTTCCAATAGTCAGTATGACATGAGTAATGAATCCTTCATATGGAATGATCTGCCCAAGGAAAAAGTTAGTTCCTAACATTCACTTTAAGGAGACCTAGTCATGAATCAGGACATTGAAACAATATTGGTCAGCATAACAGGCTGGTCTCAGCACCATAGTCTAACTGTGGAGGTTTTTTTAGCCATTAAGACAGAGGAAAGTTTTAAGGGGGATAGTGAGATCATTAAGTAGACAATACAAGTTGGCATAATGAGCCAATTGGAGGCAGGAATTAACATCTCAAAATGTGTAAATTTTTAAGTATAGCACTTGGAAGAATACATTTCCTGGTTTTTGTTTCTTTTTTTATTTTTACCTGTTGATCAGAAGTTAAATAAAAAATACAGCAGTGGTTCTTAAAGTCATTTCTGTGATATGGAATTGAATTCAAAAGGATGTGAATTGCCATAGTGTTTTGTCAGGCTGTTGAGCTTTTGTTATTTTTATCCCAGAAGGATATAGATTTTTCTTCTATTTCTTAGGAAGAACGGAATGTGTGTGTGGTTTGTGTGCATGTTTAAGTCATGATGTATACTATTCTTCAGTATCCTGCTGATATTCTTCAGTATCCTGTTGAAAATCAATGGTGGGTATTAGTGATATTTTTGTCCTGGCCTTAGGTATACTCTGCTATTCTGTCACTTTACTGTGTTTTTTCATGCTCCTTGATGTTTCATAGCATCTGTTTACTAATTCTAGTACCTTCTGAGAGAAATATTCTGTTCTAAATCTTAAGACAAAATCTTAAGGTAGAATAGCTCAGTATGGATTAGTTCTCCCATTGCTGACTCTGGAAAGAGTCTTAAAATAAAGTTTACTTATGTTATTAAATATAAACTTAGCTTAGAACTACAGTTGTGAAAATAGTGTGTTTTGTTTGCAGTATCCTTTTATGTTCAGTTATAATTTCACAAAATTTAGTTACTGTAATTTCACAATTTAGTAATTCCGAATTCATTATTGACTGTTTAATGTTTTCAGGACCTGGACAATAAAAATAGTTTTTGTCAATTTCATCTTTTGTTGCAGTCAGTTGCACAATGGATTAAGGTTTCAGTTGTCAACCTTCTGGGGAATTTTTTTCTTTAAAAAAATTGAAACTTGAATAAAAATACAAGGAGACATTTTTGTCAGTTTGTTTATTTTTGTTAAACTTAAATTTAAGTTTGCTTAATTTAAATTTAATACAATTCTCTTAAAAAATTCTTTATCGGTTGAAGTGATGAGACATAAATAATAAAAAAAAGTTTGCTATAACTTGTTAAAGATCACAAATCTGTCTCAGATCACAAATCTGTCTCAGATCACAGGGAAAAAAAGCTGTTCTTTCATACTTTGTACAAGTATCTGAACTCTGGAAACACTGACTATTTTGGGCATGATTTTATGAGTATGCCTAAGAAGTTTATTTTGTTTTTAGAAAGTGAGAACTATGAAAACCTTTTTCTATTTTTACCTTCTGTAGGCCAAATTGATTCTCTGGAAAAAAGCTTTCTGAAGCAGACCGCATTACAGCAGGATGAATTTATTCCACCCAATCTTTGTGTATAAGATTGATATGTTTCTTTGTCTCATTATTGATATTAAACATCATTTATAAAAAGGCTGCAGTGAGTACAAACCCAGATTGAATGCATTGCAAGATAATTTTGGGACTGTAGAGGGGAAAAAATCAGATACTTCAGTGAACATCCAAGGAATTTATTTGCAAGTTACTGACCTCAAATACTTGACCATGGCATGATGCAATATGAAAGTGTAAATAAGCTTAACTGCGCAAAAATTAGATGGAATAGTATTGAACACAAAGAATTTAAACTAATTGAGGTCTGTGGTGAATGATTCTTTATTTTAGTTTTTTTTTTTAAGAGACTTCCACATGATAGTTTACTGAACCATGAAATGTCAGGTCTTGTCTGCCTGATTTAGTCAGGAAGCCTCCTGTTTCTGAAACAAAAGCAAATGAGATGTATATAATAGTTTGTGCCTTACGGTTGTCTCTTTATGAAGAAGCTGATACTGAAGATTGTGCAACATAGGGAAACTTCCCTGTTAGGAAAATGGGCCTCCTCCTTACGCCAGTGCACTCAGAAAAAAGAATAGGGTTCTCTAACATGAAGAATGAGCTCAGTGAACTGAATTTGAAAATTGCCATAATGCAGTCTGCCAAGTCCTCAGCTGAGAATACTGCCAGGTTTTTTGTTTTCTGGAATTCTTTAGATTTTTGTAACTTTTGAAGGCTAACAATGAATTAGGGGGCATGAATATTCTTGTTTGGGGGAAGAAACTGAGGTGGACACATTGATTAGACAGTACAATCAAATATTCCTGTATATCTGAAGAAAAATACTATAAATCCAAGGTGTCCAATATGCTAACCACAAGCCACAAGTGGCTGGTTGGCCAGTTGAGTGTGGCTAGTTCGCTATAGCAGCAGCCACTATAGTAGCAACTGCTTCAGAATTGGTTGGACAGCACAGCTATAAATGGTTCCACGACTTTAAACCTGTGTATGCAAATAGGACTTCATTTGTAGCCTACAATCTATCTTGTAGATAGTATTTGTAGGTATGAGAAAGGAAGGCTGAAGATGGATACAAATACATAGTCTATTCTGTTGAATTTAACTTTATAACTGGCTTGCTGCAGAAATAACTTTACCTCTTTAGCATTGTAGTACCTCATGCTGGCTGTTGTAAACTATACTTGAGATTCAAATTATGCCCCTCTGAGTATGAGCCAAACCCTAATGAGCTGCAAAGTTAACTTTTTACTGCTGCTGTAGTATAAGTAACCTCCATGGTGATCTTGGTGTGGACTGGGTTGGGACAGGAAAGTGTACATATATATTGTTAGGGTGTAATGAGTAAATTCCATAGATTCTTCTTACTATGCTGGTAGGGTGGAGTTTCCGATAGGTAAGATTTGGAATTTCACAAAGGTCCTTAAATTTTTGGTAATCATAGGACTGATTTCTTCTTGCCTTGCGAAGAGAAGACTTTTTATTTTCTTTCTGGATGAGGAAGATTGAGGAGGAAGGGAGATGATTGCATTCTCTGTGTTCATACCTCATGATCTATTCCACAGTTGGATTTGTTCTGAGTTCAGAGACTGAAAAAATGCTAATGTGAAATTTTTGGAAAAGGAGAGTTTAGACTGCTCAGAGACTTTGTAAAGATGTTTCTTTTACAATTTAACAAGTCTTATGAAATCCATTGCCCTATTAGACAGTGTCTTTATCAGTTCCTTCAGTGTCTGATTTTAAATGAGAACAAAGTCCAGGTTAGTCCCCTTGGTCTCACAGTTGAGTTACTCAAAGGAGTCTCATTCAAATTAGAGTCTCCTGTTTCTCGGCATGGTAGGAAATGGGCAGAACATTTATACATTTATATCTATTTTTAATTAAAAAGTTAATTTCTGAAGATGGTGGTGTTTTGGGTCTTCATACTCATAAGGGAAAGCTTCCCATTCATCTCTGATAAATACTTTTTTTTCTGTGTTGAAATAATCTTCACTTTTATTTGAATCTGTTTACCAGAATGATACTTGAAGTATCATTGTACTCTTGATTTTCTTTAGATTATCTGATCATTTTAATGGAGGCCGGTTCTTTTTTGGTTTTATTGACCTCCCTAGCTTATCTGGTAAGACTTTGTATTTTTATAATAGTTTACTGAGTTGGTAAAATTAAAAAAAATTTCCTCTAAATATTAGCAATGAGAATGCCATTACAAGGTAAAGTTTGACATTATTTGATTGTTTTTGTTGGCTTTTAAAGTAAAATCTCATGACCTTAAATACTTTAACATAGAGTCCTAACTTTGTATTGCCTAACATTAAAAACAGTTTTAAACATAGTGAGTTGAGTTGTGAATTAGAAGCAGGCAGGATTCCAAAATAATTTTAACTAGCTGGGTTTAAATTATAGTATGTTGACTTTAGCAAAGATTATCAAATGATTGCAAGAATAGCTAACATTTTTATAAAACAGATATTTTTAAAAGATGTGTTATATGCCCCGTACATTCAATATACTGTCTACAGTATACTGTACTGTGTCTACAATATACTGTACTGAGCTAGGTATAGTAAATAACGCATTACAGCTTTTAATTTTTAATATATTTTTGGACATCTTCATTAACCAGATGGGAGGCCCAGAATTAGATATTACCTTGTGCTTAGATCTTCAAAGCTTACCAGTAATTCCTGGAATGGGAAAGAACTTCATTCTCCTTTTACAGTTAACATCTC